CGCTGCACTTTGTTTATAATTGCTGCAGTTAGCTCATTTCCACTACTACATCCTCCAAGTTTTAAGAAATTCTGTTAGTTCATGATTTCCACTTTGATTCACCTCTATTTCCCTCTGAAGGGCATACTGTCAAATGCTTAAAGCCAGCTCTTTGAGGACGTGGAGTACATCAGAATTTTATGACATATTTCACTAGTGTGAAAAGTATGTAGAACATAATTACGAATGAGAGTAACATATACAACTCTCATTATAATAAATAAGTAGCCACTTGACTCTCAGAGAATGTTCTTAATGATTTTTGCTGAATTCTTGTACAGTAGCTACCTACCCTCTGATTACAACTGATAAAAGAGTATGGACATTGGTTAGTTAAATTAATGAATAAGACAAAAGAAATAATGGCTATATCATATTCATGAATGACTTTTCTGCTCTCTAACAGGTTCTGTGTGTTCATGTGCCAGCTACCTGTAGTTAAGATGGAAGATAAATATCCCCCCCCCCCCCCCGCTTTACTGTTAAGTATAGCTGACAGCCGCCAATAAATGACCGAGTGTCCCAATCCTGTGGTAGGGATATTCTCTTCATGGTAGACTTCAATATCCCATGCCACATTACTGACATCGATGGGAGAGGTGCTCAGCAGGTACCACCAGGCAGGACTTCAGCCATGTAGGCAGAGGCACAGCCTCTAGTGCCTCACAGTACAGTGCAGCAGAAGAACAAGAAACCTTGAATTTCATTTTCTTTACCTTTGCTTGTTATACCATTCCCCACATCCATACAGTTACCAATGCTGGCTATGCTTAACTGACAGGGGCTCCACTCTCCTAACACTATGTGGACCTGGTCAGGCTGGTCTTGAACTTACAGAGATCCACCTGGCTCCAGAGCACTGCTATTAAAGGCCCACATTACTACACCTGGCCTAATGTCGCTGGCTCCAGCAAGCCACTGCCACCTCCTGCCCACTTCCAGATGTTTCTGACTTTGTGATGTTGTCCTGTTAGATAAAATTCACGTGTCTGAAAGAATCTAGAATCCCAAATCCTCATGTCAACACCACACATTAAAATGTTATCACCACAATAATTGTAATGAAAATTTAAATGACATGTATATCAACAAATTCTCTTGAAATATATTCTTGAACATCTATTATGTGCCTCTTCATATTTGCTGATATTCACTAAAACTACATTAGACAAAAGTATGAAACCAATTCTCTACTAACCGATAAATAAATCTAAATATAATGTTACAAAATATATTTTGATGATTTTTTTTAAAGATAGTGTCTCATATAGTCCAGGTTAGCCTCAAATTCCCTGTGAGAGCTTGTGTTCACATGATGGTCCTGCCTCTGAAATCCCAGGTGTTGGGATTACAGGCCTGTACTACCATGCCCACAGACTAATATAATTTTCAAATGACAAAACTTACTTTATTTTGGAAGCTTTTTAAACAAATGTATGACTACTTTGGAATAACGAAGAAGACATTACTTTAAATAGGAGAGTAGAAATGTTTTAAAACTCCCTTAATTTTTCTAGACATTTTACACTTTGATTATAGTTTTATAACATAAATAGGAATCACCATGTATTCTATAGAATATTTGGGTTTTTTTTTGCTGAATGGAATGAAATTGGACATAGTAATCCAAAATCAAAGCCTGTATTTTTCCTCATATTTGGCATTCTGTGGAATCTAGCAGCAGCAGCCCCAGTTAAGGCAAGTAGGTTATTTGCTACTGAAGACAACCAACCCTAAGTCACGGAGAGAGGCAGAGACCTTAACTATCACCACATTAGAACATGAAGAAACATCTGTTGTGATGGGTCCCAGGGCAGCTCTCAGGGCCAGGCTGCCGGGACTCCACCCTAGGCTTTCCCTTAGAGCACGAGGTTTTGCTACTTAACCACCATGTCTCAGGTTTCCATCGGAAAGGGGGAAACAACATTTCCGCTGGTGTGTTTGGAGAATTAAGTAGCTAACAAAACCTAAGTATAGAACAAGGCCCCAGCATATAAGAATTACTGGCTACTACTGAAAACTTACAAGAAGAATTTAGTCACAACAAAAGGTCTCAGTCAATAATTAGGGCTCTATGGGTGTGGGCCCACAGGAAGCCATCAACACAAGCAGAATTCTGAATTTAATGGTGGTCACATCAGTGGGCTCAAACCCCCGTGCTAAAAGCCCTGCTAGGTTTCTACAGGGTGCTTCCAGTCGTCTGTTCTTGGACGTTTGTTTCTTGGAGACAGAGTTTCATTATATAGCTCTGACTGGCCTAGAACTCTCTATGTAAGCCAAGCTTGAACTTGTTATGATCTTGTGCCTCTGCCTCCCAAGTGTTACCAAATCTGGCCAGAGTACAGCATTTCATATAGGTGGGCCTCATAAAGTTTTATGCCCGAAACAATGGTTATTAATTTAAGCACTGGGTAATTCTCATTCCAAATTCCTGTCCTGCAGGCCATTTAAAAATTTTCTTTGCATTTTCCTCAATTTACAAGGTGTTTGGAGAGCTGAGGGACAGAGCCTATGACATTAGACTGTCGTACATGGCTGGGGAGATTCCTTCAAGATGCACCCTGTGTTCCTGGTTTCTCAGTGGTCTTTCGTACAGCACCTGGGACACGGCTTCACTTCTCTGAGCAGACATACAGGCTTAGCGTATCGTGGGTATCTTCTCCTCAACTTGTCTATTAATGTTATCTAGGCTGACCGTGTGACTGACTGAAATACAAGTTTGGATGATAGCGGAAAGGTGGTAGTTGGGTTTTATTTATGTTGATAGTGGGGGGAACAGTCTGGGACCAAAAAAACAGAGTAAGGGGGAAAGGCTCAAGCCTCCTAGATGAAGTACTTTTGAACCTTGGCTGCTGTTGGCTATAGAGAGAAATCAAAGTGGCCTGAACAGATCTATTCCAGAGAGTTCTCTGACCCTAGGAATTTTTTTTTTTTTTTTTAATTTTTAAATCTTTGAACCGCTCTGGGAATCAGGTATTAGCAAGCACTGGCAGTTACCTTTCTTTTGGTTTCCATCTGAAGGAAGAAATAGCTATTCAAGGATATTGGGCCGGCTTTGTTTGTTTTGTGAGTGTCTGCTTGATGTGGGAGAGGAAACTAACTATACGTGCTGAAGAAATTTACTGTGAGCGGCTGAACCCAGCACGCTTTCATCAGCAACCACATGCGCCAGCTGTGGCCCCTGCTCAGGTGTAGGTGACAGGGCTGCAGGGAGGAAAAAAGCTTTTGCGCAGGTTCGAAGGGCTCCTCCACCCACTGGTGCACACCTGCCTCCTGTCTGCTCTGACTCCTAAAATGCACGAGGTGGGCTGGGAACGAAAAGCGTGTTCCTGTCCTTGGTATTTAACGTCTGTGTGTTTGGCACTTCACTTTTGCTCCCCCTTTTCAAAACTTAAAGCCTTTCAAATCACAAGAGCTCTGCTGTGAGAATACGACACGTCAGGCCATTTACAAGATCGCTGCTTCTTGGGTGGTGGTGCTGGGCGCCTGACAATTAACGCTGTGCTGAAGGCATGGCACAGGCCCAGCAAGACACATCTTAACGTGTTTTCTGGTTGGGAGGGGGATTTACCAAGGTTGTGCAAGAACTTCTTAGTAGTTGAAAAATACGTGTATGAATGTTTTAAAACACAAACCCAGTAACATGAAACGCTAAGAGTATGGAATCGTTCACAGTTTTAGAAGCCTGCAGCAGCAGGCTAACATTTTCTATTGCGATGGCGTCAGCAAGCAAAAGCACGAAGTGCACTGCGCTGCCCGCACTTCGACCAACACCTCTCCCACGAGGCCAAGAATATCGTTTGATCCGTGATGTCAGAAATAAGGAAGGTACCGAGATGATTTAAAGGTAACTGCTAAACTCCACAGCAAAGAGAAAGACGTGCTTTGACAAGCACGGAGGTGAAATCTACAGCAGGACAGAATAAGGTCACGGTGGGTTTTTCATGGGGGGGTTGATATTAGCAATGTGCATGTTTTGTGTATATGTTTAAGTTCTCAGAAGACAGGACTGTATCTGAAAAGCTTAGCTACACAGTTAGTAATGGAAAATGCCATGTGCTAGTATGCTAAGAGGTAAGGTTTTATGATTCGTAGGGGAATCAGAGTTTGGGGCTTGGACATCTATAAAGACAAGGACATTATTTTACTGAAACTGTTTCATCAACTATTCTAAAGAAGGCAGTTTAAGAAATATATACATTTTAGGAAGATGCATCAAAAGCATTTCAAGAGATAATCATCTCTGGCCCTGAAGGAAGGCAGCATGTGGACATTTCAGAGCATGCGCCAGCCAGCCCTGGGCACCAAAGACTGTTCATACATGCCTCGGATTTATTTTTGGCACTACAAAGTCAAATGTGTTTTAAAAAATATTATTTTCTTAATTTGTTTTCTGTAGGCAAAAATATCAAAAGAGAAGCATAAAATGATTTCAGGGAGAAAGAAAACTGCAGGAAGAAAGCTGCCACGTGATGTGTTGACTTCACAAAGGAATCTTTCCTGGTGATCAGAGCCTTTGAAGCCTCCATCATTCAGGATGTGAAATTCTAATCCAGAAGCATGGCCAGTTTGGAGCTACGACTTCATCAGCCATGCTGGATAGCTGAAACAGGAGGTGCTCGTTTGCTTCTTTCTTGGGGGAATACACTGAAGACCAGCCCCTCACTGGTAATTGCACCAGCCACTTGCTGTGCAAGCTGAGAAAGCTCTGGGGATGTGGGGGAGCCAGGGGCACCAAAGCTGAGTTTACCAGATGAAAAGTTCCATCACCGCTCACCTCCGCTTCCTTGGCCTTCAGGGAATGGCTGAATTTTATATAAAGCCTATTTATAAACCGCTGCAAGTGATACTTGCATTCATCTCATAATGTGACATCATCTCATCAATAATTTACACATAAAGAAATAGATTCTGAAGGAACTTCACATAGGCGAAGAATAGCACCCGCTCAGTCCTCTTACCTTGTTCTTTGATCTGGCGAATCTGCTTCACAGTTTCTTTTAAGATTGCACATTTGTCAGGTTTGAAGTTGAAGTTGTCGATATCATTAAAATTTGCAAAAATCAGCTCGGCAAGTTCTTCTATGTACTTATTTTCCTGTTCACGATTACGTTTCTCAGTGTTCCTTTTGGGGCTAAGGAGGAATGTGGCATTATTATTATTTATTTGAAAACACTGTTATGAAAATAATAAACACGTTAAACTACCTTTAAGGTGACTACAGACAAGGAAAGTTGCTTATGAACTAAAACAGTTAAGACCAAGGTGTAAACATGTCCTAATGATCTGTCTCACTGCTGTGCCCAGAGTGGCTGCTGAACTTACTGCTGGACAGAGAGGGGTTTCCAAGTGTTAGTAAGGAGGTTATGGTAACAAAAAATTCAAATTCTACTTAAGTTTTAAAGGGGCAAAGTTAAAGTTAATTAACCTAATTATAATTTGGAAACAAATTTCAATCACTTTTAAACTTTTATTTTGGTAAATGCAAAAGTAACAAAGACAAATCTTTGTAGTTTCTTTAGATTCTTATTTTAGATTTATAGTTACAGAAGATTTCTTTAGAATGTTTCTGATCCAATTAGGTAAGGTAAAGAGTCCCAACCCAGCCAGGAGCAAAGTGCAAGTGACCTGGGCTCCATGTTAACTGTTCATGCCAAATGATAGGCAAATACAATGAATAGAGAAAAATATAAAAATTGACAAAAATCTCTCATTTGAATTTGCTGAAGTAACAATACTCCCAAGTTCCTCTCAAAAACTATACAATTACTTGTTCAAGTACAGTTCTTTTATGTGTAATTATTTATATATAATATTAATTTAAAATTAATATAAAATATTAATTGCAAATTCGGGATTCTCATGTTGTAGTCTAACTATCAGCTTCCTTTCTTAATAAGCCTATGATGTTAACACATTCTCCCCTTATAGTGGCTGCACGGCAGGGCGGAGAAGAAAGTCTCTGTTTTCTAGGCCTAACTTCCGGGTGCTTTCCTACTTTATTAAGCAAAGTCATAGGAAGGAGGTGGCTGAAAGGCTTAGAGGAGCCCAGCTCCCATGCTGGCTCTGCTCCTTTTTCTCTTGGACTGGGAGAAGTAGGTGAGAAAGGGAACTGAGTTATCAGACCCCCAAGAGGCCACAGGGAAGAGCCTCCTGCGCTGCTGCTAGCCCAACTGGGCCCCAGGCGAGAGAGTGTGGCCTGGGAACCTTTCTCTCCCTAGACAGGCTCTAATGCATGAGGGAAAACTCGGACCCAGCAGCAGGTGCAGTGTATCAAGAAGTCCAGGGGACCCTGGGAACAGAGAGGAGTAGGGCAGGGTGTGGAGGGCTTGAATGGATCTGTGACTAGCAGGCCCAGGAATAGCGCCTAAACCATCCATTTTCAGATCTCTCTCCAGTTGGTAATTTTTCCTAGCCCACAAGCCCACTGTTTCCTGCCTAATGTTTTAATCACACAATCTAGAAGTGTTGTTTTATTTAACTTTAAAAATGATTTATATGATTTAAAATATCAAGTCTGGAAAAAAAAAATCTCTCTTTGTGGTGGGTTAAGTGAGAAATGTGGCCCATAGGCTCAGTCATTTGAATATCTGATCCCCAATTGGTGGCATTGTTTATGGAAGCTTCGGGGGCGTGGCCTTGCTGGAGGAAGTATGTCACTGGGGGTGGGCTTTGAGAACAAGGTTTTGCTCTCTCAGCTTCCTGCTCCTTCTGCCATGCCTGCTGCCTGCTGCCCTGCCTCCCTGCCATGATGGAGTCTTTGTCTTCTGGAATTGTAAGCCAAAATGAACACTCTTTCAGAAGTTGCTTTTGATTGTGGTGTCTCATCACAGCAACAGAAAAGCAAACCAGAACACTCTCCATCTTTGTTTCCTTTTTGCCTGGCTCTAATCCACCAAAACAGGTAGCAACAATCACTGCTTCCTGGTTACCCTACAACACAAATGCAGATGCTTCCTCCTCTTTAAATTCTTCTTTCTTCAAATGAAGGGCAGTATACCCTATAAAAATCTTTTGAGCTTTGCCGTTTATTTCTCACAACATCTTTTGGGATAGTATCTAACTTTGTATGTAGCTTAGATTGGCCTCCAACTATGTAGCCCAACATGGTCTTGAATTCTTTCTGCCTCAGACTTTGGAGATACACCACCACAACTGGCTCTGTGCCCCAATATTGTAGGAGACTTTAAGAAAATACTAATCTCATTGTTTAGCATAGTTTCACTGTGTGTTCCAGGCAATATTACCATCTTAAAGTGTTCTCTGCAAAAAGTCTTTTATGAATCTAAACCAGGGTAATAAATGCCTACAGTATTCTGCATATATAGATGACATCATTCAAAGAGTACATGCACTTGAAATGGTGATATTGCCAAATTGGCATACAGGGCAGCCTGGCCTAGTGATGCCACCACCACACAGCAAGAGGCACAACTTGTTCCAAAATTATTTTGTTTTATCCACAATTTGTCTTCAACTCAAAAACAACTGGATTTATTAAAAAAAAAAAAATAAGACAAAGATGATTAAGTATCAAATTAACAGCAAATCTTTTCATTACAGAATTTACTTGTTACAGCGTTCTGTGACCTAATAGAAAAGAAAATAGGGAAAACTCAAAGTTGATAGCAATGAACAAAGAAGCATTTAGACAGCTCTAGTAGACAACACTGTTCTTTTCGTAAATAACCTAACCTGGGTCCGAGCTGGTCAGGACATTCCTTGCGTTTTCTTGTCTCTGCCCTGGACGGGTCAGAGGTATTTTCTCCCATCCCACTCATCTTGAACACATATCAGCAACTAAAACAGAAAACAGGTGGGGAAAAGGCATGAAGTGTAGCAATAAAGTGTCAGATCACTCTGCCAACATTTAAGGAACTTTGACTTCAATCAGAAATATGGCAATGGTTATGAACACACCATTCTGACATGCATGCATGTATAATTTTAAATTGAAAAGCAGCTTATCCCCCCTTTTTCAAGTCTTGCTTGAAGACTAAGAAGGGGAAAGGTTAACAGTAAGACACAAACCCTCCTACCTCACCAAGCCCAGGCTCTTCAGGCAGAGATAGATAGACTCAACAGCACCATGAGCTACTGTCTGCCAGCCTGGGCCCAGCCACAGCATCTGGTTCCAGGGAGTGCTCTGCACCATGGAAATGACAGGTGTTGTTAGGGGTTCCTCTCAGTCTCTTTTGTGGGTTGGCCAATGTGTAGCGTGTGCTGCAACAGCTTAGTGACAGACAAGCTGGGGAAGTGGGCGGGAACACTATAAAGGGTAGATCTGCCCCCCTTGCAGTGGCCCTGCACAAGGCCTCTAAAATGGAGGTTCTTCCGCCTCCCTCCAGGCTCAAGGCTTGGCTCACAGCTCCTCCCTCTTCCTCTCTGGGCTGCTCACCTCCCTCTTAAGCTCCACAAGGTGGCTTCCTTTCTCACAGTCAGCTAGACTGACTTTTCTTCCAGCTGTAATGACCAAAGGGTCTTGAGAATGGTTGTGGGAGGAGGAGCCTGATAAAGCTCCCGATTGCTGAATCCCTTTTGGTGAGAAAATGAAAAGAACATACAAAAAGAGACCCAATGTTCTCAAGCTGGCCATCCGTTGGGCCAAAAAGTGACTTTTATGCACAGAGAAAGTGACAGTTCTAAAAGATACAAAGGGCCTATCACAGATTCAGAAGAGGGAAAAAAAAAAAAAACTGCTTCAAGGGGCTTCAGTTAAGTAAAGTAGCACAGCTCCATGAAATCAGAAATCAGAAATACATCTTTCCTAGAAATACAATTCTATGCTCGCTCTTCTTCATTCTGAATGATCGCTGCCCTCCTTTACTCTGGGTAGATTAAGAAAAGCCACTGAGAAGGTCAGTAGAAGCCTATGAACCTCAGAAAGCCACTACAGACCAGTGGGGTCACCAGGAGCAGGGGAAAAGAGCAAGACGGGCTAACGAAATCAGTGGAGAAGAACTAGGCATCATGGCCACCTACCAGTCCAACTGCCTGTGGTCACCTTGGGTGTAATCCCGGACCTCAGAGATCCACGGTCACTCCTCTGGCCACTGTTCTGATCCAACTGGGCAGTAGGGCCAATTGTTCTCTCTCGTTTTGAGAGTCATGTGTTTTAGAGAACCAATTGTTTTTAGGGAGTCAAAATGAAGAAATGCTGCATCAGCAAGAGGGAGGTGGCACCAATGGTACATTAAGTTAGGAGGTCACATGGAAAGTACAATCTGACAACTGATGTCCCAGTTTCCTGTGGGTGGGAACAATGTAACCAAGTCCTAAGGTCCTGTTCTGTGCTTATTTTTTGCCTGATAACACGTGCTGTATTTAGTTACTATTCACTTAGTTTACCCTATGTACTAAAGCCCATTTGCAGATTCAAAGCCCAACTATGGACTCTGTATTGCCAGGCACCCATGGGCTTACATTCTGACCCAAGCTTCACCACTTGGTTAGCCATGTGACCTTAAGACTTGCTACTTATAACATTAATTATGTTCTGCAAAATGGAGTAACCACTGGCATCCACAGCACAGGTTGCCAAGAGAAGGAAGAAGGGGCAAGGCCTGGGTGGGACCTACAGGGGAGAGGACCTCTGCTCTTCACTGGCATGCTTCTGCTGAGACAGTCACTCCTCTAGTTAGTGGCACAGCCCTGCCTCTTCCCTGTTTTGCCTGCCATGGCCGAGCTGTTCTTCATCCACTACAGGCAGAGGCCCGTGGGAGAAGTCTAAACCACAAGGGCTTCTGTGCATGATGTGATTGTTACTTCACTATACAAAGCCTGCCTTCCTGTCACTGTAGATGGACATGGGAGGGGGGACACAGAGAGAGTGCTGTTGCTCAAGACAGAGGCGGGGCAAAGGAAGATGAATTCACCAACAGGCAACACTCCAGCACACACAAACAGGCCTTACAGTACTACGATACACTCCTGTATTGAGGTCCAAGAGTGATGTGCTGGCTTGGATAAAAGTGGAATGAATGATTTCCAACAGAGGGCCGGGGAGCCAGCTGCTACAGCAGGTACAACAGACAATGTGCAACCAACATTCATTTTGACAAATTCTTTCTGAATCATAATTTCATAAATTTTCAATCCAAGATTTCACTCTTAACCATGCAAGAACAAGCTTCATACCTACTAATCTTCCAACAGATGATCCAGGTAATTTCCCCCTAGAACTGACTGTCAACAAATCATAAAAATACAGGTATGATTCAATCATAACTTCACTAGACAGCAAATCACAATCAAACCTTCACTAGGTAGCAAAACAAAAACAACCCGCCCCCAAATAGTAGGTGTGGGTGATATTTTATTGATGATAAAACTTATGTAACTATCATCATGTCTATTAAATCATAATATCAGAAAGGTCAGAAACCTTCTCAACAATTAAAATAAATGCTTGTTAGTCACAGAGAGCCAATTCGGAGTCAAGCATTGGCTTTAAACTCACACACAGTAACAACTGAATGCACACCAGGAGCCAACACTCACAGGTTTCCACAGCCGGACTTGAGGGACTGAGTGGATGGATCAGTGTAAGAGGAAAGCCCAGAACATACTGATGTATCTTACTTGTACCGCCTCCAGATTAACTTACAAAACAATCCATTTGTACCATTAAGACATCATTTGTTTCCTCTTGCATTTACTTAAGGGCCAAGTTTTCCTATTTATTATGTGATGGTTCCTTAAATACATTTTCTCAATATATCAACGTTTCCACGTTTTGAACACAATGGCTTCCCTACTTGACTCTAGCACATACATTATTTTTTTTCCTGGTAATTTTTCTGGGTTCAGCTCTTAAGCAGACAAATCAAGCAGCTTCACATCACAAAAGGAGAGGGTAGCAGGTGTGGGGGGCACCTGTTCACGCTCCTTCTCACTGGGAATAAGCCATGGTGGCCCAGCCAAATCACTGCCAATCTTCCAGGATAAATAAAAAAGACAAGGGTAAGGACCTCTTCCTCGTGGAAGGAGAGTAGATGGGAAAGGGGACAATTTCAGGTTGGAGCAGGAAGGGAAGAGGATAAAGAGCAGAGTGAGAGCCAGCGGCCATGGCTTCTGCCTCAGAGCACACAGCGTTGTGACCTGCCCTTTTGTGGGTTAGACAAATGAATACGCCTCACTCATGAGGGTTCACAAACAGCTCTGTGGACCTCTTAACCTGGGGACGCTCTGGCATTTTCCACGCCCCATATGAGGCAAGATTTTTACCTGTAGTATGTGGTAGGTCAGAGATGACATAGGTACTGAGTTCAGATTTACTTACGGAAAACACCTAAAGCAAAATAAACTACGTAGAGAGGTGAAGTTAAATATACTGTTGTAGATCAAAGTTAGAAATTAATTTCCAGTGTAAAAGTAGGGAATGGGAAATACAGAAGGCACATTGTATAAGTGAGTAAACAAACAGATCCTATATTTCTGCACATCTTCAACATTCCCATGAAATTATAGCTCTTGAGTATGTCACTCAGCTCTGAGACTGTTCAATGTGAATCACAGAACTGATCATGACACAAATAAAGCTTGAGGTAGCTGACATAATTGAGGGCAGCGACTGAGGGCAAACCGGTTCCCACCAGATGACGGGGGTTGTGAAGGACAAGTCTAGAGAGGTTTCTGTTTGTCCATTCTTGTTATCAATAGTCACACAATAGCAGTGCTTTCACTGTGGCAGAAGGCTCTTCCTCCCATCCCTCCACATCAGCTTGGACATACTAGATAGGAGAAGAAAGAGATACAGCCACAAAATTCAGCAAGCTTGTCTTTTAAAAGTTGCAATATTCAGGGAGGGATGAACAATACCCACAGTCAAGTTCTCAGCAAATGACAAAAGGCAATACAACATGTCAGATCTCAATTCAATTAAAGAAAGCATTCTTCTTTCACCGAGCTCATCCATCTAACTTAGGAGGCGGCAAAGCTGCTGTTTGCAGAACAGCCTCACCGCATTAAAGCTGGTTAATCATCCAGAATTCTTGCAAGCGATAATGTGCACTTTATCTCTTATCAGCACAGGCCATCTTCCAAACAAAGCCTGTAAAACTGTCAGATTTACTATATGCTGAACAAATTCAGTTAAAGGATAAGTTAACGATAACACCCTTGTTTAAATCCACACATAATAGCATGATCAAGCACTAGGCTTCTTCCTAGTTCTACAAAGAAAGAGTTTTAAAGTTGGGCCCCTATGAAGTCCCTGACTTTGAGTTGGAATTCACAAGGAAATTTTCCTGGGACAAAGATATGCACAGAGAGAGCTGAAACATTTCCTTTAATTATGGCCTCCAAGAGGAAGGCGGGCCTCTAGGATCACAGAGCTCTTGACACAAGGCACAGAGGTTTCCTTGTCCTCAGCTTACAAGGCTGGCCTGGAACTCAAAGATCGGCCTGCCTCTGCCTCCCCAATGCTAGGGTAAAAGGCGTGCGCCACCACCTCCCTGGTCTTTCCAATCTTTCTGGTCTCATGGTTTTATGGTCTCATCATCTTTCTGATGCATGGTACTGTTGCATACTAGTAGCTGGAACCTGCACAAATTTTTAATGTTGGGGGATCAAATCCAGTGCCTTGTGACTACTAGGCAAAAACTCTACTGCCCTTGGTTTTCTGAGACAGGGTTGTCCTCTGTAGCTCACACCAGGCTTAAACTTGTAGTCTTCCTGCCTGTCTCCTGAGTGCTGGGAACAAACTTTCAGAAGACTGGAAAATGTTCAAGCATTACAGAAAACACACATAAGTTTGTTTTCAGACTGCTTTCAGACTCACTGTGCTTTCCCAGTTTATC